GAAGCTTTTTTAATATATTAATAAAAATTGATATGCTTTTTGAAATTGGAGAACCCATACAGAATTAAGAACTACAATATCGAAATTAAGATTCTAGAGTTTTTAGAAGCTTTTCTAATATAATAAAAAAAATCGATATGATTCCTGAGCTTTGAGAACTCGCACACAATGTTCCAATGGGTGTTTGGTCCCTTCGATCCCAAAATCCCATTTACACATTGTGTACTTATATGCTGTAATATGTATATATTTAAAAGAAAATTTAGGATTTTATATTATTTAATAATTTAGACTTTGAGATTTTGTATCATTCAGAATTTTTGATTTGAGATTTTGATATTTCAAAATTTTGGATTTTAAGATTTTGGATGGTACTCACCTTTACAGTTCTATATAGAATAGTAACTTTCAGAACATAGGTCTTATAAGATTGTTTTATCTTTAAGCCTATTTATTTATAGATAAAGATTGTAGTAAAATTATAGTAAAAATGGGATAGACAAGCTCTATAACTGAAGTTATCTCTCTATCCTAATTTGATAGTAAAATTCTTGTGAATTTATTTGAGCTAAAAGCAAGTAGCATGTGGTAAACTAACTATTTTTAATGGTTTAAAACAATGGTGATATCCTATGAGATAAAGGTCTAATTATAGTTACTTCATAAAACTTGGTTATATTGAAACCTAAATTAATTATGCAATTAGTTACTCAAAGAGTTATAAATTCTTCAAAATCTGTGTTTTATATAAGCGATGATGTAGATTAACTAAAAAAAATAATAAAAAAATACATAAATAATTTATAAAAATATAAGTTAAATAAATAATTTTGTTAGAGTACTTGCACAGAAGGAAAATACTTAGACTCAAAGCCATTTATAAATATTAAATATTAGTATCACCAATAGGATAATGGTAACAAAAAAGTTTGTATAAATAATTTAGATTATTTCTTAAATAAATTAAATGATAAAAGGTCAGAATTAAATTTCTTTATCAGTGGGACAAATGAATTGGTTATAATTATTAGAAAAATATATCACAATCACACTAAATTTTAAACCCTGCAGTGTATGTGATATAATGTTCACTTTGTTGCAGTATGCCCCATTTATTATTGTTTCGCAAAATCGAGTGATTATAAAGAAGTGTGCTTATATAGAGGGTGACTATATAGAGGTCCGATTGTATTATATAGCTTAAGTAACTAAGCTTGATATAGTAGGGTTATAGATTGTCAAAGAATTGCTTATACTTTAACTTAGAATAAATCATTTATTGACTAAGTTTAGGAAATATTAAATTTAAATATATAATGATAAAGGATGTTTATGTTATAAAAGCTTAAGGGGATATTAATTATTGAATAGTTTAATAGTTTTATTTATAAAGAAAAAATTTAAACTCTGGCCAAAATACTGCTGGAATTAATATCGCATCAGATTACGCTTATGTTACGCCTTTCACATAATGGAATCTCAAAATCCATTAATTTAAAACGCGTAAAGACAATTCCAACTGACAATTAAATATTTTATTGTTTGTACCAATAAAAATGTATGCTTGAAAATCATTAACGGAAATTCGGTTCTTATAAATGACTTTACTATTTATTATTAATAAAAAGGGATTCAGAGTTTTATTTTTGGATATTACTTGGCCAATTTACTCCTCTTTGATAGTCAAACGAAAAATTTCTAAAGATTTCATTTATTCTCGATTTTCTCCATAGGGTAATGTCTGTTTGATAACAACGAGTCTTGTTGGCTGGGGTGATTGTAATCTATAAACGAAAACTCGTGTATTTTTAAAGAGTTCACATTTTCTGTTCTTTTCATACCATCAATAAAAACTTATCCACTGTATTATATCAAAAAATATCATTGGGAGTTTTTCATATAACAAATATACGAATTAGCATAGCATTTTTGCCATATATACCATTAATAGATCACTGTGAAATGTTACGGTTAGTGTTTATTCGAAAATTCTCACTCCGAAAATAACTTTCCCAACTATAAAGAAAGACAATGCTTCATTACCGATATATTGTTGATTTTCAAAATGATTTTCTCGATATTCAATGATATTCAAAAATGATTTTCGGACGTTACGATATTTGAATATCTTTTTTTTAAAAAAAAAAACGTGAAAAAATTCAACGATTTTACAGTGTGAAAAGACTTTGCATTTTTATATAAAAAAATCGATTCTTTCTACCAAAATTTCGGTAAGCGATACAAGATTATATTTATTGAATTTGAATAATACAATAAGCAATGAACATAAAATTTTAGATGAAGGTAACTGGAATTATGCATGGCTGGCCAAAATTAGAGATTCTGCGTGACAAACCACGTGAGCTTTTCACTACCCGATGCCTCTTAACTAATAATATATCATAACCTGCGAATTTTCCGCGTTTGAACCGCAAGCAACTACATCATTGGAAAAGGGTTATTCTGATGATTGGTTAGATAGATATATGTAGCAATATTAAAATGACGCAGCTTTTGCACATGATTAAGAGATCATATGGCATCATAATTTCACCAAAAGTGGAATTGTTTTGTAAAAAGAGATAATCAAATTTCCTTACGTGAGATTGATTGATTAAATATTCCAAAACGGTCAAACCCGAAACTTTAATTTGGTATCAATTCATAAACAATAAATCTGGATTAGGTCAGGTATGAAACCTAACTAAAATGCGTTCGAGAGTTTTTCTTTATTTTTTTCCCAATCCGTGGGTAAAAAAGAAAAACCATTATGATAATCATAATTAGTAATCAATTTATCCGAGAAAATTGTTTTTTTTTTAAAATTGACATGAATTTGCACAAATAAAGAGAGACGCGTTTTTTGTTTGTTTATAATTTATATATTCATATCTATATATGGAAAGTCCTTCTTTTATCAATTAAGCTAGATTTGAACGGATGTGTACAAATATATATGTATTTAACGCACGCGCATTGATCCCAACCATCAGTGTGACGCGTGCCCAACAAAAAATGATGTCCGAACATCCCCGTAAAGACTCCGCGAATTCCGCTAGTGACAATTATGGATGACCCCGAATCATGAAACTATTTTTTTTAACAATAGGTAATGAGGAGGTGGGTTCATTACAACGTTTTTTTTAGGCTGAGAAAAGATTCAGCTGAAATCTTTGTTCCGAAAGTACTACGAGATCATATTTGATTTCTAGAATTCTAGAATTCCAGAATGATATAAAAGGAAAATGACAATGAACCCTAGTATAGACGCGATTTACTCATTATGGACAGATTATTTATTTATCTTTTTTTTTTTTTTTTTCTTTATTCTATTTTTGATTAGATTAAATCATGTAATTATATAAGGTTTAATCTACATTCGAAAAGATAAAATAAAATAAAGTGACTATCTCGAATCGGAAAAAAAGGGACCACACGAACGGGTATTTTGTTAATTTCCCCGCATAAATAGAAAATAAAATTTTTTTTTTTGGAAATAAAAAAAAAAACGAGATTTTCATATTTAGTGACGCGTAGACCAATCATCACCCAAATCGGGGAATGCGTACAATCCTATAATTTCGACCAGAATTAAGCCGTAACAGGATTAAGGAAATTTCATTCTACCCACTTAAAAAGTTCCAAAATAAAATAAAACTTCACAAGAAAATCTAAACCTAATTCCCAATTAAAAATAAATTAAATAATTTCCCCAAAAGGTTAGGTGCTAGGTCCCCTTATGCGATGGCGGTATATTTACGTAGAAATTATTTAGGTTTACAAATATATAGAAGTTTAAACCGAAGTTATATGATCCATGAACTTTTCTTACTTTGTACTAGTTTTGAAAGTTCAAAAATTTTTGTGATTGTTCAATAAACTTTAGTAAAATTTGATTTATAATCAAAAACCGGATTAATTAACTTTCCGATTTTTCAAAAGAGGGGTACACAAAGAATTTTTTTTTTTTTTGTCCATTGTATTGTATTACTTTCTTTAAATCTGATCGTACAAAATAAAATTTTATCCATTGTCTTATTCAAAGTATACAAAGGGCGTTTTTTCAATACAACTGTGGAAATGAGTTTATTAATTTGTACTTTATTTATTTTTTTCCCAAACTAACTTTTTTTAAAGAAAGATTTAAAGATTATTAGTTTGTGAAAACATGTGAATATGCCCGCCAAGTAGTTGACGTAACGTGTTAAATCTTTTTTAAATATCTATTTTTTTTTTTTTTTCACCTGGGCGCAATCTCACTTTTTTTTGAAATGCTTGAACAAACATTGCTATGCCAACATGCATAAAACATTGTCTTTCGATTAAGATTTGTTACTTATCAGGCTAAGAAGGAAGAAGTCCGAGAATTTTTTGGGGGGATTAACACTAATCAGACTTATAATGTTTGATACTTTCTCATTATAAAAATGAGAACAACTTTCTTTACAATTACGGAACTTCGATTTTGAATTTTTTTTGTTATGCAGGATATGCAAAAGTAAGTCCGAAAAAAAAAAAAAAAAAAAAGTTGACAAAGAACGTCAATCACTAGTATAGACATCAAAGAATTCAAAATTTTTCGGATCTTCATTCAATGAATGATAAAGTTTTATCTTATCCATGTCATTATCACAATGAGTTGATCAACAACGGTCAACTTTATCAATTTTTTTAAAAAAACAAAGGGTCGATTCGGATAGAACATTTTTCGGAGTTACGTTTATACGGTTTACGAGAAGTCTTTTCATCGAATTTTGCTTCGATTTCCTTTCTTAGAGAAGACCATTCCCTCCTTTCTTAAAAGGAAATAGAGTGAGTACTTACACAGCCATGTTATAAATGGAGAATGTCAATATTTAATGAATATCTTAAAATGCGAGTATCCGTCCACGCATTCGATAACAAAGTTGTTTATTTATTTATTCATCGTACAAAAATTTCAAAAATTTAACAAGGTATGAATTTATTTAAACAAATGTTTAGGGTAAGTGACCACTAATATGGAAATTACTATGAGTCAATCACAGTATTATATATTAATATTTGATGGTGGTATGTATGAAATAATAACAAATAAAAAAATCACCTAATTACAATGAACAACTATTGTAAAATATGTAGTATATATGTATGATATTGGGTGGGGATATTGAAACTTGTTTCGGCGGAAAAGATCAATTCACAGATGAGGAAAAGGAAAGAAATACATTTAAAACAAACAAAACGCCTAAAAATTGATTAATATTTGTTTGATGTCCAAATAAAATAAAATCCTGTACCCCTAACACCTGATTAAATCTATTAATAAATGAAAAAAACATTATATCTTCCCATGTACAAGAATGATTTATCCTTCAAGAGATCATTAAATTTAAAACCAACATAAAATTTTATTTTGTACCAGTTTAGGTGATTATCATAAATGGCATTATTTCTTGTTGATTGCTTACAGCGAATCTCGCTCACATTTTAAGAGAAAAACGCCATTTAATTTTGCATGAGTAATTGCATTTGAAACTGTAAATTTTCATTACGATCCTATTGGTGGCACCGTATGGCTAAAATATGAGCATTTTTACCATTCCGTTTATTCCAATAAGTAAGTATTTTTTTTTTATGTCAAAAAACTAAAAACTGGTTTGTTACGAGTTTTTTTTTTTTTTTTTCCTTTCCAAAATTATAACAACATTAATATAAAAAAAAAAAAAAAATGGATATTTTACTATCTCGGATGTCGGCATGACGAAAATCTATTTTTGTAATACAACTCGGAATTTTTGATCTTTACAACATTGATTAATCGATTAAATACATTTTTAAAAGAGGAGATTTCCTAGTTAGGAACTATCCGTTGTAAAGATAATGTACATAAAAAAAAAACTTATAATTTCGAAACCATTTCTCCTCATTTTTTCATTCATTCATTTTTTTGTTTTTTTTGTTTTAGAAAAAATCAACCCGTAATTGTCATTATACAAATTGGTTGATTATAAAATAGAAAGTTTTCTCAATAAGAATCTCTTTGAACCTCTATTTTTATTTTATTTATTATTTTTTTTATTTATTTTTTTTTTTTTTAAATCATTTATATATATATATTATCACTTTATATGTACATGCTATCCCCACTCGAAAAAAAAAATAATAATAAATTTTTAGTCATACGCTTCTTAATTTAACCTTTTCACTTTCTTAAAATTTTTTTTTTTCTTTTTTATAAAAATAAATCCTCTTGTTATACTAGTTATAAAAGGAAATCGTATCATTATCTGAAAAGGGGTACAAATTTTTTTTATACCCAAATATTGATTTCTCACGTGGTCCCAGAAAACTCAAGGTCCCATTCAACAACAAAAAATTTCTTTTTTTCTTCCTCCTCTTCTTTCTCCTCTCCTCCCCCTCTTCATCGAAAAGATGTGCTCAACGTTAAAGATTCAAGACTCAACGAACTTGTTTGATTATACAATGTCAACTGCGTCCTCCACAAAGGAAACAAATAATGACATACAAATGACAAAAAATATAATAAGGTTTGCATTATTTTCAAAGTAACCAAATTTATTGATTTTAAAAACCTGTTTGTTCTTTCTTAGTAAATCAGCTTATTTGTGCATTTTTTTTTTTTATTTTATTTACTTGAACCGAATATTTTACTCACAGCAACAGGCAAATTTCCTCAATAGGGAACATTGAAATTGAAAATACCACCAATTTCGAAATATTTAACGAACGAGTCTATGACGACGATAAATCGTCATATCCATATAACTTTACTAATAATAATGTATATACTGACGTAACGGAATCAAACGCCAATGAAAAAATAAGATTAAAATTTATTAATTTAATCTCCACTTCCACTTCATCATCATCATCATCTCTTTCTAACTCCTCTACAAAAATATCTACCACTTCTGATATAATAACCGAGACTAATGAAAATCATAAACATAAGATAAATATACGACATATAGCGACGACATCCCCAGTTATTATTAAAAAATTTTTCACTGCTGTCTCGGTTTGTCGGAAACGTATTAATAACGATATTAAAATTTCCACTATTGAACCTATGGAAAATAGTAATTTTTCAAATTCTCGTTGTTCGCTACCAATTCTTAACAAGCCACAACTTAAAAATAATGGTACGTATGTAGTATGATGATAAATAAATCAATAAATAAATGGGCCTCGAACTTTTTTTCGTTTTTACCCGCTATTTGTTTTTTTATTTTTATTTTTTATTATTATTATTTTTTTTTTTTTGTTTTGGTGCTCGTTCCCTTCCCCTCACCTCCCCCGTTCTTTATTTTGATCGATAAGATTATAACGACAATAAAATAAACTTTTTTTTTTCATCATCAATCAATTCGATGGTTTGTTTTCTTGTTAGTTTGATATAGCTGATTATGCAATATTATAATTCTGTCGCGCCTTTCTATTATATATTGCCCCTCCCTTAAATTTTATTTTCAACGTTTTCCTTTTTCCCTTTTCCTTTTATTCCCTTCTCCTATTTTCCCATTCACGTTCTATCAAAAGGAAAGAGAAAAGAAAGAGAAAACAAAGGTGTCTTGTATTTTTTGTTTTAATGTTTCTTGTGAACAAACAAACAAAGAATTTCCTTGTAAAAATAACTTTTTTTTTTTTCTCGCCCCTACATTTTTTTCAATTCTTTATATTAAATTTTATTTTTTTTATTATTTATGTTCAAACAATATTTTTAACCCCTCATTTATTTTCATCTATACAATAAATTATTAGACGTTGATCGATGCAAAATAATATCTGATGATATAACTACAACAAAAAAACTTCTCTGTAAACGATCATCACAATCAAGGATCCAACGTTTAAAGCGTACTTTAAGTCTTACGAAAAATTTGGATAGAGAAGGGGGAGAAAGTATAATTTGCTGCAGCACCTACGACATTATCATGAAACGTTCTGATGCTATGATCCCCTTAAATAATTCATCAACAAAAGAAAATTGTCCCGTCCAATTCCTTCCTCGTTCTATTGTCCAGGATCCAAAGGAAATTGATGATTTTATGGATATTATTAATAAAGGATTTTCACTTTCACCCTCACCTTCACCCTCACCCTCACCCTCACCTTCACCTTCACCTTCACCTTCCCCCTCCCCTTCACCTTCACCTCCCCCTTCACCCTCCCCTTCCTCTTCCTCGGCTTTACGACGTTTTAGTCGTTCAAAGATCGTAACAAAGAATAATGACAAAGCACAGCAACAAAACAACAATTGCACTTGTAGTGATGGTACGAGGAAGCGCGTAAAATCAAATAATAACAATCGTTGTGCTACCTTTTTCTCACAATTATCTTCCTCATCAGTTTCTTCGACTGATGGTGATTCTTCCGCCGAAAGTTCGGCAAACTTTTCCAGCATCAACGTATGTGATACGAACGTTGTTGAATCACATGATCAATTTGATCCCACGGCTGCGCCAAAAAAACGAAATTCCTTGGATGAACGTACCATTAATAATATAAGGCGTTCATGGTCTCATATTGAAGTACGACACTTCAAAGGATTGTTCAAGAGGAATCGCGATAATGATGTTAAACGAAGGAACTCTTATGCTCATACCACTTCAACGAGGGCTAATCAACAAATCGCCTCGGAATCCGAATTTAAAGTGTTGAATCTTGTTCACAATGTTGACAATGCTTCAAATGATGCTGATGAAAATTCAACTAGTTCAGATGAGGTTGATCATTCACCACCGAAAAAATTGCCTGTTGACTTGTATGCTTTACAAGCTAACATGGAGAAAGAAACTGATGCTGTCACAAGGGCGCGTCAAATGAGGAAATTTATCATTAGTGAGATTTATTCGACCGAACAGAGTTACCTGGCTCATATGAGGACCCTCAAAAAGGTACATCCCGCGTAAGATCATTTTAGGTTTTTGATTTGTGACGCATCCTTATGCTTACAGCTTTCCCCCCCCCTTTCACGTTAGATCTTCATGGATCCTTGCATTCAAGCATCGTTGACACCTCATCCACTTATGATTAAAGATGACGTAGAAATCATTTTTGCTCATATAGATGAATTGATAAATCTTTCCGATACCATTGTAGAATCTTTTGAGATTTCAATGGACCCATGGGAAGATTATGATTCGAAGATGGGTCAAGTGTTTCTGAAATATGGAAATAAGTTTGAGGTTTTCGAAAAATACGCTGAAAATATTCAGAGAAGTCGTCAATTACTTGCTAAAAAAGTCAATCAAAGCGTATTATATCGCAAATTCGTTTCGGTAATTATCTAGAACTTTTACCTTTATGTCATGCCAGATTTTTATGAATCGCTATTCACTTTCTTCTTTTTTATCTTATAAATTATAGTCTCAACGAAAAAAGGAAAACATTAAACTTAATCTTAATGATTATATGATAATGCCCATACAGCGCATTACCAGATATTCTTTGTTGCTTAAAGGTGAATATTATTCCTCATCATACATTTCATTTAAATGATTTTCATCTTGCAGTATTAAATATTTTTTCTTCTATTTATAATAGAATTGAAGAAACATACATTAGAATCGCATACCGATTATAAAGACATGTGTGAAGCTTTAGATAGCATGTTATCTTTAGCTTCTAGATGCAACAACAACATCCAATAAACTTCTTATTATTTGGATAAAATTTAACAGGAATAAGATAAAAACAGAGAATTTGGAAGAGTGGAATGATGTTTATATTTACATATATATTTTTTCTTTAATTATATTTTTCAATTTATCGCTAAAAAAAAAAAAAAAAATATTTTTTTTTTGTAAATATTTATATTTCTTGCTTTTTTCTTTTAAAAAAAAACTATTATACATTATTACTAAGCATATTATTATCCCAAAATATTAACTCTTATATAGCTTTTATAACCAAAAAAAAAAAATTTTAATTTTCTTTCTATGAAAAAGTATTATTTTACGATTTTACGATTATTTTTGCCTTTTTTTTTTTTTTCCTTAAAAATATATATATATTTTTTTCTTGCAGATGGACTTTTTTTTTATATAGTAATGAATTTTATAGTAATGAATTTTGTAGGCTTTTTTTTTTTTTTTTTTTTTTTTCTTTTTTTTCTTGAATTTAATGAATTTTAAATTGCATAATAAATTTTCGTTTTTTTTTTTTTTTTTTAATTTTGACCTCTCTAAAAAAGACGTCATATTATCACAATTTACCGGTCATTTATTCATTTTATCACATAAAAATGCCCTAGTACAATGTATTATTTGTTATTTTGAAAATTCTACTGAAAATTTTTACCACATTTTTTTATTAAAATCGATTTATTTATTAGATAACTTTTACTAGTAATAATATTTACATTTTAATAAAACTTTTACATAAATAAAGTAATAATTGTTATTAAAATTATTTCTATTATTTTCATTTATATTATTATTTTCTTTTAAATAAAAGAATTCTTTTTTTTGTAATAATTGCAAATAATCTCTTATTTAAACTTTTAATGTTTGTTTCTATTTCAAAATGAAAAGAAATTAAAACAATAAATAGTTTTATCATAATAGAGTACTTTATATTCTTTATGACAATTATATTTACAAATTAAAATAATTTTATTAGATAATCTATATCATTTAATAATAAACAATACTATCAGACTTTTGTATTTTAACTTAAAAGAAATACATTTATATCTATTACTATATTAAAATTTGAAAAATAAAAATTTTGAATATTTTCTATTTTGATAAATATTATTAAACATTGACATAAAAATAATAAACTTTTTTTTTTTCTAAAGATTTTATTTTATTAATTTAAGATTTAGTTAATAATGAATAATTTTTCAAAAAAGAAATTATTTTTTTTTTTCAATATTAATGATTTTTACTTTTTAAAATATTTGTAATTTTACATTAAATTTTGCTATTTAATATTTTAAAGAATTATAAAAATTCTTAATCAATAGTTTATTATAATATTAATTATATTTTTTTTTGAAATCTAATAAAACATATTACTTATATATTTAAATAGTATTTTATTCTTTCTTAATTTATGAAATAATATTCAAATTTTATAATTTTTTTAATAATAAACATTTAATATTTATCAAATATACAGTATTATTTAAGTTTTTATAAAAAGATTATATTATTTTAGATTTAATATCAATTAATTGCAAAATAAAATTTTTAATTAATTAACAAATCTAATAATCACTTCTTATGTGTTTATTAATAAATTTATAAAATATTTAAAGAATTATCTTAAAACTAACTTTATATTATTTAAAATATTTATTAAAAAAATTTTATAATAAATTTTATAAATATAATAATTAACTTAATTTATTTATATATTTTCTAAATCTTTAAAGTTTATTTATTATGTAATTTATCTAATTAATTATTTCAATCCTAAGTTAATTTATTTATAATACATAATTTTAATTACTATTTTAAAATCATATTATATATATATCAAATTTATTAATTTATAAAACTCATTTAAACATATATTATATTATTTAAAATTTTAAATTTTAAATTAATTTTATATAATAATAATATGATTAGTAAAATAAATACCAATTTTAGTATTAAAAATTTAGAATTAAATTAAAAAATTTTGAGATTATAAACTAAATTCATTTTATATTTAATATTTATAAATCATTCAATTATTATAAAATTATTAATTATATATATAATTATTTATTTTAAAAAATAATTAAGTAATAAATATTATTTTATATTTTTAGTTAATTTAAAAGGATTTAAAATTTATTTTAATAAAATTAAATATATTTTTATTTTAAAATAAATAATTTATTTAAAATAAATTATTTAAACAAATTTAAAATTAAAATAATTCTAAATTTTAATATTAATATTATAGTTATTATATAAAAAAAAAATACAGTTTAGTATATATTAATTAAAACTTATATCAATAAATTAAATTAATATAATAATTAAAAATAATAATTTTAATATTAATATATTATAAATTTCTTTTTTGAATAATATTTATAAATCTTAATATACTTTATAATTTAAATAATTTAAACTTTATTTATTATTCTAACACTTTTTTTTCTAATATCAGATTTATATAAATGCTTTTATTAATCTACTTTTTTTATTTTATTTGATATTAACTTTAAAATGCAAATTTATATAAAGTTTAATCA